AAACACCATGAAATATATAAACACACACACACACACACACACACACACACACACACTCTGACTACACAAGGAAAGAATAAAAAGGAATAATATAATAAAATAAAACAAAAAGTAGAAGGCAAAAATTAATTCTTTAGTCACAACCAAAAGTACAGAGGCAATCCTGGAGGCTGTATCTGAATCCGGATCAGACAGAAAGAAGTAACAGATAGAAGTCATGCTCTCTGCCTGGGAATTTCATCAGGATGGGATGGATGAAAATCATTGGGGATGCCCCGTAAAGAGAGTGGAAAAGAGGCACGTAGTTTTGCATCACCACAAAGGCACATGCGCTGATATAAAGCAATCTTTTTGTAACTTCCCAGCAAAGCAGCCAAGGACGATGCATCCAGCCTTTCTCCCCAGCATAGAAGTTAGCAATGTCTAATGCTGGAAGCACTAAACTCCTTAAGAATAGTTTTTTAAAATATATAGTTACTATTGTTTGGGACTTATCTGTAGGACATTTATCTTCATGCCACTGCCAGGTGCCACGTGACAATCTAAGGCTGCCTTTGGTTCTCCTGAAGAATGTTGGACAAGGAATTGAAGACAAGAACTGTATTAGAATCTTTGCTGCTCTGGCTATGAATAGTTATCCTTAACAGAGAAGGAACAAACCTTGATCCTTACTCAAAGTAGGCTACAATGGTATTGCCGTGTTGCTCTCAGAGAACTTTGTTTGGCAGATGCAGGGTCAATCAACAAATAGTATTGACAATAACAACAGCCTACTATCTTATGTATTAAAACATTGATATAAAAGAAATAAAGTTCATTTCATCAAACTGTACATGCTAGTTGCATCCAAAACATGCATATAAACGGACCTGAACAGAAATTCATTACTGTTAGCATGAACTTTAAAACCATCTGCAATTCATGTCTTAAATTGTTAATTCTAAATGAACTGCAACATTTTAAGAGAATGTCATCTGCCTTATTTGTTCACTGCAGAACCCCAATTCCAACCCTAGGCCCACAGCACAGGACCTTGCAGGGTTTTGGGATCTCTTACAGTTGTCCATTGAAGACATCAGCATGAAATTTGATGAACTGTACCACCTAAAAGCTAATGGTTGGCAGGTGACAGAGCCATTGGAGAAGAAGGTAAGTGTCAAGAATATCAAAACCAAACTCCTGGAGTATAAGTTATGTCATTTTTATGGATGTATATGGGATGTCCCTTGTCCATGTTAAACAATTTATAGCTTGATCCTAAATGTATTGGGAAATAAGATTTAGTTATCTGGTGAAATTATATGCAAGTAGGCACACTTGATGAAGTTCTTTTAAATTAAAATTTAAATGAAAATACTGTCGTACTTCCAGAGTATCCTTTAGAAGTCAATATATAACACAATATTTTATAACTTGTTAAAACGATTATATATTTTAAAGGTTACAAGAATAAAAATCCTGCTTGTCACTGAGAAGATAACATATTGAGGAAAGACAAAGATCTCTGTAATGGGAATTCCATAAACGGGGCACCCCTTTGTTTGTCATTTGCTTTACATTGGATAGAGACAGGGCCTTTCCAAAGGTGACTTCAAAATACAGGTTGATTCAGGAGCAAAAATAGGCACCTGATCTTAAGCTGTGTAGAACTGCATTTAAATAAATACACCTTCAAGTCAAACTTGACTCCAGTTGACTTCATGGACATGTCCATGGGGTTTTTTGGCAACAACACAGAGTTGTGATCAATTCCCAGGTTAGCCTACAGCTCTCATATTTCTTGGGGATCTCCTATCTAAGTACTAACCAGGTCTGATCCTACTTAGCTTTTCATACTAGCACAGTTCAAATTGTGCTTTGCATGGACTGGAAGCTTGTGAAATTCTTTCAAGAGCCAGAGTGAATTGTTCAAGATGACCTGCTACACTGTAGGAACTATTGTCTTATAGCATGTATTTTACTGTCTTCGAAAGCAGCCACACATATGATAATTTCAAGATTAGGAATCCTTCCCCCACACTCTTTTGAAATGTTGCTTTTCTCAGCAGTTCTCATTGTAACTCAAATGGCCTTCTGTTATACTTGAAATTAACAAGGTTTTCTTTCCAGCGGTTGTGTTATTCTGATCATTCATAATAATGTTTAACATAAAATGTGGGGTCCTTCAATTATCCCCCAATATTACTTTATTAATTTTTCAAAATGATAGAACAACAAATATTTAGTAAAACGTGGAGAGACCTTGGTTTAAGTACTCTGCTCTTACCCATGTTGCATATTATACATAGTTTGATGTGTTCCTTGAGTGTGAATCACTTCCATCTGATTCAATTCAAATCGTCAAGTCAAATCGGTAGTTTCTTTTGGAAAATTTATTCAATTTGGTATATGATCACATGGTCATAATCACCATCTTTTTTTTTTTTTTTTTACTCCCACTGTGGACACCACTGACTACAATTTTAAATCTAGCAAAGAGAAGAAAATAGTTGAAGGTAGGGATGTGCAAAGCTCTTCATTTTGGGAACAGAATGTTCCAGAGAATTGCTGAACCTTCCATTTCCCATCCAGACTACACAGAACCTTTTTTGGGAGGGGCTGGTGATTTTCACAAATAAATTTTCTGATCTGGAAGCAATTCAAGATGTCTGGGAGTGGTCCAGTCCAAATCAAAGTTTTCTTTTGTCCAAAAGCCATGTCCAAAAGTCATGGCATTTTGCAACACTTCTGATTTAGAGGAGTTACTTCCAAAAACTGTTGATCCTCTGTTCCTTGTCAGTTTAAGAACAGAGGATCAACAGTAAAAGATAATAAAGATAAAAGATAATACAGCATATGAAAAATCCATGGCTCCTTGTCAGACTCCCTCCATTTGAATCTCATCTTAGTCCAATCCATTATCGTGTCTCTGAATTATGGATTAAATTTAATTCTGATGCTTGTAAATGATGTTATATGCTGGTTCTGTCACTTTGAATAATGTAACTAGAGCCTCAAGCTAGTTAGGTTATTTCAAATTTGGCTCAAGATAGCCTGAATTTTATTGGCTTAAGTCAGTTTAATAGTGATAAATGAGGCAGAAATGGGATTTTTGATACGTAGATGTACAAGCAACAGCACTGCATTTTTAAAAATCCACTTTTGCCTGTGCTATGCAATAGTGAGAATTATGCATACAGTGCATTTCTGTTTTTCTACATTTTTTGCTGTTGTTCCTCCCTAAAGGAAGAAAAGAAACCACCCCCTCCTGTGCCAAAGAAGCCAGCTAAACCGAAATCTCAGCTAAACCGGGATAAGGCATCTGACTCGGTAGACAAACAACGCCAGGAAGCTCGCAAACGCCTCATGGCAGCCAAGCGTGCTGCCTCTGTTCGACAAAACTCTGCCACTGAGAGTGCGGACAGCATTGAAATCTATGTTCCTGAGGCGCAGACCCGTCTTTGAGCAAAAAGAAGAGGAAGAAAACACTTTTTTCACACCATTAAAAGAAAAAAAAAAAGTTCACTAAACAGTAGTGTGATTTCTTTGGTCTAGAGACACCAGAGCCAACCCTGCCAAGGGCTCCCAATAGACCTTTCCTGGTTCTGTGGTTTGGTTTTTCTCCTCCCCATCTTTCACGCTGGCTGTGGTGTGGCTGAACAAACTTCTGGGAACGCAGTCCTTCACACTTGGAACTGCAACCTTTTTACTCGTCAATCTAATGAGAATTATTAGCTTGTTTACATGAAATGGACTGAATTGAAGCAAATGAACTCCCCCCTGCCCACCTTCAGCACTTGCCATGCTGTGCTTCCCCCCTTCCCTCGGGTATATGTTCTGTCTTCTGCTCCAGAGAGTCTCTTTCTCTCCAACCTCACTGTTTTTTCTTGTATTTTATAGTTCTTCTCTTGGCCATCCTTTTCTCTGCATGGCATCATTTACTGTGTTAGAAGTAAACTCTTCTACAGTGCTCCAGAAGAAAACACCTGTTCAGTGTGTACTCTTGCACTCTGCTAATGAGCAGCCTTTGGTTTTGTTATGTATTACTTTCTTTATAGATGGGTTGGGAGTGGGTGGCCAAGGTTGGGTTGGGGGAGGCAGTAAGGCTTTGGGGTTAATATATCTTGTAGTCCAATGATGTAAACAGAGGGCACAATCTGTGGAATATAAACAATGTGTTTTGTTATAATAGCCTGGAAGCAAAAAATGTGCAATAAGAGAAGTGTTTTGTCTGCACAACCCCATGAATAGTGCTGCAAAGGAGGATTTCCCATCTAGGGCACCCAGAGAAAAAAAACGCAGCAAGGAGGATTCACATGTTGCCGCACACACTTTTCTTTTTCCTGCACTCTCTTCCCCTTTGCAATTTTTTGTATGTGATTTTGTGTGCAAGGATCAATGTAGAAGAAACCAGCTGCTATACAAAGGGTGGGGGGAAACTATTTCAAAGTTGTAGGTATACGTTCTACAGTGAAAAACAATGGTTTTTGTACTGAAAAAAAAATGAGATAGATACTAGATGGTTGGCAATTTGCCTACCTCTATGTATGTGTACATATGCACATATAGACTTAGTAGGATATGTAAATTTAACACATACCAATGCATACATAGCCAATCACACATGTACACATTCAGATGGTGTCTTTAAAAAAGCACCTCCAAGAGGATGGGTGTATGTACAGCATATATTTTTACATGTACTATAGCTAGATGTGTGTAAAAGTGTGTGCAAAAATATATACCCCACATATTCTCTCAGCCATTCTGGCCCCTTGTATCCCATATTTTTGGAGGAACTGTCATGAAATTTCACTTTGACCTTCCTCTTTCCCTCTACACATCTATTTTGAACTAATTGGTGGAGCCAGGAGTCAAATAGCCAAATCTAAGTTTCTCCTCTGCCCTTTACACCAACCTCTTTTCCACTTGTACATTTCTCTGAAAGCTGTGCAATGTATTTGGGGAGAATGAGAAAAGGTATTCAATGAATAGCCTAAGGTGACTAGAACCCAAAAGAAATTTTATACTGGTATATTAATGAATCAAAGATCATGTCAGTGAATGCTGTATACGGTGTCTATGCATAGGGAGTGTTAGATTCCTACCTGCCCACTTAATGTACGATTTTGTAATCTGTGAAAGCTTGGCCATATAGAGTATGGCTTCAAAAGAGATTGGATTTATTCTATTTTCCTCCCCCTCTCCAGTAACTTTACTTCAATGCTAGAGGGTGCTTGACTGACTTTTGAAACAAGTGGCTGACTTTCACAGTTCTTCCTATTAAAATTTGAAATGCTTGGAATGTGACTTTTTTTACTTGCATTTCCAAAAGCAGTAATGTCAGTAATTAGGGCAGTTGTTTGATGGACTCAGTTTCAGTGGTGCGTGTTTCGGCGTGCAGTTTGTCAGTGGGATTAAATCTTAAATATATGTGAACGCAGCAAAACAGGTCTCTCAGTTTTAGAGAAGTGTTTGCTTCCACAAGTACACATAGAGAAAAGGTAGACATGCTTTTCTCTGGCATATGTACTTACATGCTATATACACTCAATATATTTATCCATTTACATCTTAGGTGTATTCACAAAGGGGCTTTTTTAGCTGATGTGTACCCCTGTGTGAACTGGCTTCGTTAGTTTGTTGCAATAAAAATAGTAAAGACCATGGGTTCTGAAACAGTCCTGAAAAACGCTTGGGGTCGTGAGCACAAGGACCTGTCTTCAGCATGCCTTGAGCATTGCTAACCACAGTTGGGAGGTAATTATGGGCTATCATATTTGGTGGGAGAGAGAGATCAAAGCAAGCACAGTCAGCTGGTTGTAAAAGCAAGGGAATGTCAGAAGCCTTGCTTCAAACTCACAGCATTGACCTTTCTCCCCCATTTTTTTGTTTTAAAGGCCAACTTCACAGTAGCCACTTCTTGATCCTCAAAAGAGCACTGAAAATAGTTTCCGTGGGTGGCACTTGCTTAGCTAAAGTATGTATACTTCAGGGATTGAAATAGTGTTGATCATCCTTGCTTCAGTATCTCCTCCAGCTGCACCAGAGGTTTCTTCACAAAAATAACTTATTCCATCTACAGATCTGTGTTAGCGATAAGGTAGCCAATGGCCTACCTCTTCACGAAGCATCCATAGTTCACCACAATGCTGTGCCTCTTTGTAATCAAAATCTTGTATCCAGGGATGACATAACTGCTTTTTCAAAAACATCTAAAGCAGTGTTTCTCAATCTTAGCAACTCCCAAGATGTTTGGACTTCAACTCCCAGAATTCGCCACCCAGAATTCTGGGAATTCAAGTCCACACATTTTGGGAGTTACTATGGTTGAGAAACACTGATCTAAAGAACAACATTTTATTTGTGCCTCTCTGGGCCCTGAATGTTTTGGGATGGATTAAATGGAATTTAAGGACATCTACATTCACATAGTGGAAATACATCCAAGTCTTGTTCTGAACCCTTAAAATTTTAAATAATCTAGTTCAGCTATAAATCAACTCAATTTATAAAATTGGCCAAGTCCAACTTTTCTCTCATGCAATTCAAGGAAACACCCAATAGATCTGAACCTTGTGGCAGAGCTACAAATGCTTAGGTGACTTAATTTCTTAATAGCAATAATTCTGTGAAACGAGCAGGATGCCTTATGCTTGTTTTCCTGCTCCTTGTATTTCATTTATGCTATCTAGTTTCACTAGTTTTCAACAGAGAATGTAAGCAGAGCTGGGGTTAAAGTTGCTCTGAAAAATCCATTTGGTGGAACTGTGCTCCATATATGCTTGTCTAGTTGTATTTACCTAATTGTGTGATTTGAAAAGCAATGTACCTACTACTTTGATAACCTGTTTTTCCTCCCAACCATGAAGAATGGTAATCTGTTCCCCTAAGTGATATTTCTTAGTTTTATGGTAGGAAAAAAAAAGGGGGGGGGGAGACTGCTTAGGACTGTGATTGATAAATTCATGGCAGGCTTGGGTGGGTTTTTTTTAGGAAAAAGGAAATGAAAGCCTTGTACCAGACTTGTGGCCCAACAGTTTGTAATGTGAGCTTTGCTGCCATTGTAAAATATAGTAAAACAAACAAAAGGATCTATTTGGTGCTCTTATGCCTGTCTCCTTGCAATTTCTGATCTTTATGAGCTCCACTTTCTAGAGCCAGCAATCAGATGTAAACATTAAAATGGGCAAGATTAGGGAAAGTGTATCTGAAAACAACCAAGACATTTAATTTAGAGTATTTTTTGTCATTCATTAGAGAGTGACCAAATTCGTCTTTAATAAATGAACAAAAATATTGCAAGAACTTTTTCTACATCCATGTTTATTTATTGCCTGATGATCTAGCAGTGGTGGTTTTTCCTGGCTTTGAAACTTAGCCACCAAATGAGATGTTTCTACATTCAAATATTTGCAGTCTTTTTATATTGCTTTGAGATCATTTAGCAGCTGAATGTTAGCCTAATGAGTCACTTGGTTGATAGATCTATATCTTGACCATTTGGTCTCTGCCATTAACTTTTCTGAATAAATATTCAAAGTACTTTGCTTCAAATAGTGATGTTCTTAAAAGAATGACTGGCCCAAAGAAATAGTATGGAGCAATTAAACTGAAGAATTGTATTTTCTCCCAGCCCTTAATATAAAATTGTATGGTACTGACACGAGCAAGATGGTCCAACAAAGGGCTGAGCAACTTATTCCATCCCTTTCTAGTTTCATGCTACTTCCAAAATAGAATAGCAAATATCTTAGATCTGGGGAAAAGTAAGCAACATTCTCTTATCAGGTTGAACTTGAATTTCAAACTCTGTTCTTGCAGACATCTTGTACCTGATTTTTTTTCTTTTCTCAATGAGCTAATTTAGGCTTCATATGTCTTTCCAGGCTCACTAATTGCATGATATTATACAGACTGAAGAGATTTACCTGTATAGAGAGAAAGATTGTTTAAATGAAATTCACTGTTATATATTTGCTTTTTAAATTACAGTGAAAAATGTTTAAATTATAGCATTGCATACCAGTACAATGGGTAAAAAAACATGCAAATTAATTAGGAAAGAAAAGGTCCTCCAAATCTTACTGAAGAACAACTCTCATCCCACGTAGAATCCAACATTTGATACATCTTCCTACTTATGCTGTAGATGTACCAAACCTGTTTGACATATGCATTGCTACCTACTAGCAGCAGTATCCTTATCAATGTTCTTTCCAAAAGCAGCTCTAGAAAAAAAATATAAGGGAAATTACCTATTTTTATTGTCCTATTGATTACTAGACCTGTTCACTTCCACATCCAGAATTCTATATTGAGCTCTATCAAATTGTTATGGATTAAAGTCCCACGGCCAGACTCTAATTCCATAATTAGTGGGCTGGCTTGTCCCTGGTAGTGTTCAATATTACTTACTCTCTGGAACATTTGTTTCTCTGGTGGTTAGGTTTCTCTTACAGTGTTGAGTGTGCATGTTCTGTGGAATTTATAAGGGACAGAAAATGCTGTGAAACCAATGGGGCAGGGAGATTCTGAAAAGCCATGGAAATAGTAGATAACTACATATATACTATTCAAGTCAGACTCAACTCCTAGTAACTATATGGACAAGTCTATGCAGTTTTCTAGACAGCTTTTTCAGAAGTGGTTTCCCATTGCATTGGTTTCCCTGCTCCAAGTCTAGCACCTTAATTAACCATTAGACCAAACTCAACTTACATGGGGATAGAGAAATTGTCAAATATTATTTTCTTATTCAACTGCAGAGTTTTCTTCTTTTGGACAGACAATCCTCTGTAGAAGTATGCGATTAAGCTTGACTTTCTCTTGTTAGGGGTTCTGAAATTAAAATAATATGTTCATCCCTTATTATTCTCTATTTAGTAAAAGAGAGAAGATCAAGAGGGAATATGCACTGATTGTGAACATGAGTGGCCAGTATGAAGGTACAGCCAGTGTGATGTAGTGGTTAAAGTGCTAACCTGGACTTGGGGAGACGCAGATTCAAGTCCATCCTCAGCCACAGAAGCTCCCTGGATAACTTTGGGCCGGTCACACTCAGCCTAACCTACCTCATGGAGTTATTGTGGGGAAGGAGGAAGTACTGTGTTTGTTGCTCTAGAGCTCCTGAAGGAAAGGGGATATAAATCAGTTTGATAATAAAGGTGGATTCAATTGTAAATCAAAGATGTGAAGAACAGACAGGTTAAGGGGAAGGAGAAGACTGAGAAAGTTATGGTGGGATGGAGCTGATGAGAAGTCTTAAAAAAATGTGTGAAGAGGTGTATGGGCATGGTAGAAGGAACAATAGGTTTCCAGAATAGAAAGGCAGAGAGGAGTATGAATGGTCTTGGTATGAACAGACAGGTTAAGGGGAAGGAGAAGACTGAGAAAGTTATGGTGGGATGGAGCTGATGAGAAGTCTTAAAAAAATGTGTGAAGAGGTGTATGGGCATGGTAGAAGGAACAATAGGTTTCCAGAATAGAAAGGCAGAGAGGAGTATGAATGGTCTTGGTATAAACTAGACTTAGAATTTATTTTTCCTCTCCTATCTCCTGCCTCCATTTTATTTACTTTTGCTTACTCCTTTTCTTTTGCATGTTTACCCAGAAAACAAATGGCATGAAGGCTGAATGTATCGATGTTGTGGGTGGCTAAAAGAGGGGCAGAAGGACAGTGAATACCTCTACACCCCTCTTCCAGTTAAAAACACATCCAATCCTATTCTGTAAGAAAGTTATTTTGGGTCACACATCTATTTTGTTTGCTCTGGTTCTTTTGGTGGGTTTTTTTTTTTTTGCTAACTACTTTAACAAATGTTTTTTTCAAGTATGATAAAAGGGGTCATGAGGACAGGGCTTAAATAACATCCAGATTTTGGCAGGATTGGCACAGCTGAACAGAAACCTGGATTGTTCATTAACACTTCAATAAGATTCTACTGTTGAATCAATCTTGCACATAGTTTTCTTGTTGAAATGAGTCAGCCTCACAGCTCATTAACAATCCCATTTCATGGTCAAAAATAGGAAGTGGTGTAGGCTTTCTTGCTGGTACCAGTGAGAATGCAGAAAGGAGGGGATTGCCTGATTTAAAGCTTTTTCACAGTAACTTTCTGCATATTTTAGCATATAACAATCAAGTAAATCAGAGGTGGAAGGCCAACGCAAGTAGAACAATTATCTTGGAAAGGTCCTAGCTAACACAGCAAGTAATAGGGTTTATGCCGGAGCGTAACTACCCCCGCATAATAGAAAAGTACTGATCTAGAAAGAGGCAGACTTCTGACCTAGAATGCCAAGGCTCCAGTAAGGATCCTTTTGTTCTCCTGGAGATTAAATGTTAGATTTAATCTGTAACTTGAATAGGCTCAAGGTCTGTGTCACCTTTTCTTGTAGGTCAAAAAGCTGCAGATCTATTCCACCTATATTCTGTAAGATAAATTTGTAAAATAGTCACACTATTAGAGCAGGAAGAAGTATGTTATTTTGTGATTGTCTTTGCACACAGACTTTTATCCAACATTAAAATCCTTCCTGTCTCCAGGAAGCTAGCAATCAGGGTGGTGAACCATTTTCAGGAAAATGCTTCCTGATAAATACTTATTACCGTGATCTTAATGCTAAATAGTAGGCACAAAACACATTCATATCTGCAAACAGCATAAATACAATTGCAATGCAGCATAAAAATTGCAGATTGATCAAGTCCAACAGGAATGCACATTAATACAAAATGAATATAATCAATTGAAGGCAATACAAGCAGCTGATATTAACAATCTTTCCATGTGCAGCTAAATTATGCCTGCCTTTTGTGCGCTAACGTTCAAAAGCTTTAGAGAACTTTTTCAATGGCTGACTTGGGAAATATAGTCTCTTGTAAATAAATGAACCAAGGCACAGTAATTTTGTCAAAGAACCCTCTCCCAGGAAGTCCTGGAGTGACCATACTTTTGTACAAGTGACACTATTCTGTGAGAGGTTTAAAAACTTTCTGAATTTTGAATGCCTTGTTCCCGAATTTTGCTACCTACCTTACTAACAGAAAAATCAACAATGGCTTCTTAAAATATTTCAGAGCCAGCTTCCATTTTGGCTATTTCCAGATGTAACTCTTCTTTGCATCATTGGAGTTTTCCCATTTTTTTGTAGCTTGCAGAACAGCCTATGCAGCACCTTTGTTTGCCTCTGAATCTATCCCTACTCTATCCCGTCCACACTAGTGAGTGGATTACAACAATCTAACACATGGACGCCTACTGATTTGTCTTGCCTTGTGCAACCTTTCTTCTGTTCACCCTTTTCACTTTCCTTAAAGCACATTAATTACAAATATATGCACAGATCCCTTTTCTTCTATACTTTTATACCAGAATTCTAGAAACACAAAGTAGGCCTACTTTCTCATGCATCTGAGTGCTCCAAGTATTATCAATATTCCTGTGTTTTGTTACAATTAAAGAAACTCTTCAAGCAGAACTTTAATGCCAAGATTCGTAAGATCACCTGAGATAGAAAAACATATCAAGTGCTATGGAACATGTACATTTTCTGAGACTTGTACTTTTGATCTGGGATTGCCTGTGTAATGATTATCCCCATTAAGAAAATCATGAATGAGAGAGAAAATGTTAGTCACCAACCAAACGATGACAAGGCTGTCTGGAACCTCAGTGAAATCACACAATAAATTATGCAATTTAAAAGTTGATCTGGAAACAGCTGGTCTGGATAACAAATCTCCAACTCAGCTTGTCTGCTCATACAAGTACTGACTAATCTTTTCAATGCCCATTTGATAGCAGCACCAGATGTTCTTCCACCCATCAAAGTGAACAGATATGTTTTCTCAATTCTTACATCAGATCACAAAGTAGGTCAAGTCGGATGGGATGTCCTGACAGAGAAATGAACGGAGCAAACTGGAAGTGGTTATAAGAAGTAATGTTTGTTCCTGTTTGGGGGAACTGTCCTCCAGAAAAATAACCACCAGGATGGTTAATTTCACAGAAGTTTCAGGTTGTAGAAGTCAAAGTCTATTAAACAAAATGAAAATGGTGCTAAAACTAAATCTTTTCATACCACCCAATTTCATAGCATCCAATTCAGACATTAGTTTCAGTACTGAAGGCATGGTATCTTTTTTTTAAAAAACTTTATTGATTAAAAAAATCCAAAAGTTATTTACAGTAGTTCTGCTCCATAAACTTCAGACAAAAGAATATTTTCTCTCTTGCAAAGTCCCCATCCCACCTGAAACAATATCTTTGCATCATTAGGACAAAGTACAGCAGTATAGCAAGAGCAGCGCATTGCAGGAACTGGATTTTTAAATTTTCTTTTATGCTAAAGTTTCAGATCTGCTTAGGCACTTTCTACAGCCCATTAGATATCCTGTGTATTACTTAATCACACTGGTCCCATTCTAAAGGAAATCAGTGATGTATGTACCATTAAAGTCAAGTAGGTTACTAGCCGAAGGTATATTTAAGAGGGACCTGGGGCTCAGCTGTTCAAGGAATTTCCATTTCAATAGTACACTGAAATAATGCCCAATTCCAAACAATCAGAATAATCAAATGAAATCTTGCTGTCACATTCTATGAAACCTTAGTGGTTTCCTTTTAAAAGGGTTTGAAAAAAAGATCAAAGGACCGATACGTTCACCATCCAGAATTCAATAAGGATGAGAACTGGACACAAGACTGATAAATGCCCTCAAACAAAATAGCAATAAATGAACAGCTTAAGCTCTTTTCAAGGCAGCTCTGTGGGTTTTTTAACAGAGGAAAAAACCACCTTTGGGTTATTTTAAAGACAACTTTGGATTGAAATGGCAGCTCTCTAGACACAGTTCACTACGTCCCATCAATGACATGGGACTGATGGTCAAAGAGCACCAAAAAGAGAAGGGAATGGACAAGACTATGTCCAGCAGCAATTGTGGGTTTCACTTATCTTAGTTGCACTTTCTGGGGGGAGGGGGAAGGTTGAGGGGGAAGGCACTCTCAACATTGGTAAAAGCCATAAGGCCTCCCACTTGGGTTCCAGTTGTCCTACAAACCATTTACTCTCCTCCCAAAATCTCCCATGAAATCAACCACCGGCTTCTATGCCTGGTTCAAAGATATCTGAGAAAGGTTGTGTTCTGCTGGGCTTTATCTTTACTATTCATGCAACATAATAATTAGGCTAACACCCTCTAAAATTAGTGTTTCTCAAGATAGATATATAGGTGTATATAATAGATCACTATTTAACTTACATTTACAGTGAAACAGCACTATTCAAAAAGAGGCGGATGATCCTATCACCCAGGGTACGCCATTCTTTTGCAAGGTCTTGATCTCAGGACAAAAGAGGATATAACTCAATGAAAGATCTGCATTCTAATTGATCAACAGACAAGCCTTGGTTTCCCTCCACCTAAATCCAAGGTGTACCCCTTTTCTCTAATTTTCAACAATAAACTATTATTGGGTCCATCAAGGCTACAGATATACGGGACACATGAACATCACACATGGGAGTGATAGAATAGCGTGCGGAATGGAAGCCCTGACTCTGCTTGACTTCCCTTCTTGGCCATGAGAGGGCACCCTTGCTCCATCAGCAAAGGAGCAACTACATTCAGCATGATGAAAGCAAGGATACAAAAATACCCAAGTCAGAATGCGCCCTTGTTTGTTTGTATAGGTAGTTTTGTCAGCACATCCATAAGAGATGCTGTAAGATTTCCAAAGTCACACAGAAATACAGTTCATGTCCAAAATTAAAAAGGAGAAAGCACTGTTTAAAGCAACTTCACAGTCGAAAATTTTGTTTTAGTTTCTTACTCCTCCACACCTTTGAAATGCCCTCTCCACGGCTTACGGCTAGCCTTCTGCCGGCATAGTCCTCTCTCTCTTCTATCACTGTACTTATCAGGACAAATGTAAGAAAGAGTAGGCAGAAGAACACACACTGTGTCACAAAACCAGCTAAATTTCTGCCAGCACCTAAAGTAGATCGTCCAACAGCACCATATATTTTTGTTTCTTTTACTGGCACCAGTATTCACAAGGTGATGCTCAATTGGTCCTCCTGCCCAACAGAAAGAAGAATGCCACAAACTTTAAAGGCTGCCAGTTCATTTGTTCATTATGGGAGACTCCCATCAGGTGTGATGCAAGGACCAGCCACTTATTCACACCAGATCAACAATATGCTACAACATGGTACAACTTAAAAAAAGGGTGGGGGGCATTTCCCTGCCCCCTCCAAGAAAATTAAAAATACATCAGAAAGCCAAGGGTGTTGAAATCACTTTTTGCTTGTCTTCAGTTACCAAAAGGAAAAAAAAAAGTATTTGTTTTTGATAAATTGCCTTGGACATCTTTCTTGTCCTAGTCCATGTCAGTGAGCTTTGAAAATTTGGGGGGAGGGGAGGGGAAGTAAGTCCAAACTACTGCCTAAATCCTCCACAGTATTTTTTTAAAAAAGAGTCAAGTGTCATAAAAGTATCAACCAGCAACTACATCTTCTCAGAAGATGTTCAAGTTTTGGGTCCTTTCAAGAGCGGCCTGGAGTCAAGAACCCCTGAGCAGACAACCTCCTCCAGGTGGCTTAAGAGAGATGCTGACTGGCTCCATAGCATGATGCTAACACAAAGGATGATGTAGTGTGCCCTCCTTTGAGGGAAGAGTGTGTTTAGATAAAGTTGGGGGTGCCTTGTTTCCAAGGTGAGCTGGCAGCATAAAGCCAAAACAATGGAGGCTTCCACCATTATGGTTCCTGGTTGAGAAGAAACTGTATCACAGCATTAACTTCTAACAGGGGAGCTCTTGCTGCAAAGGCCAACAGAAAAAAAATCCTGGAAAAAAGAAATGACTGCCTCCGAGAGGAAACCAGAGGCTGCAGGAAGCTACTTGTTTTTTCTGGAAAGAGCAGGAGAAGATTCTCTCTGTGGTGATGGAGGCAGCTGCCCACTCAGCTTCTGTGAGTCAAGCTCAGCTGCCCTTTGCAGAGCCACTTCTACCAGCAACTGGAAGCTGCTGAAGTCCTCTCCAAAGAGCTCAGGTGGTGTTGGAGGGGGTGTGTTGAAGAGTCCGCTGGTGGGACTGGCTGCATCTGCCCGGGTGAGAAGAGCCAGCGTGTTGCCTGTTGCACTCATCTGTGATTGCTTGGGATGGGATTCCAGCTCAACCCGCTGGAGCATGGGCCGTTTCTCCAGGTCACTGGTCATCACAGTCAAATTGCCAGCCAAAGGCCGAGCAGTCTGGCAGATCACAGGGGGGCACACAGACATGGAGAGCACCTTGGATGTAGTGGCTGCAGCAGCAGGAGGCACCATCAAGAGTCCAGAACCTGCAGCCGCTCCACGGGAAAGTGCCACATCACTGGCTTTGGTGCCTCGGCGAGAAATAGTGAACTGGTTTGGGTCTTTGCCATCCTTTAGCAGCATATCAGGGAGAAGTCTGCGCCTGGCATTGATGAACCAATTGCAGATCTGGAAGAGAAATATCAAAAGGATGGCATTAGATGTACCTGAGGCTGGATGAAGACCCTTGTGAACTCAAATCCCGGGTGGTGGTGGTGGGGAGATTACCTCTCTCTCTCCCCACTTTCTACCAGTAGAATGGGAGCAAACATTACCGGCTGTACAGAGAAATTGAATAGAACATTTAACAACTATAGCTGAGAGAAAAATTTAAAAATTAAGGGAAAGGGTGGAGAGAATTCAGCAGCACTGCGTTGTTTTTCTTTCTTGTACAGGTAGTCCCCAGGTTAAGAATGCCCAGTTTATGGATGATCCACAGTTAAGAACACAGTTTAAATCTGAGTTAAATACCCAATGATTCGAGTTAAATACACACTGGTTTGAGTTAATGACACAATACTACTTAAACAGCATTATACATTAATACTGATCCAGAATTGGTAATTACATATTAATTTGACTTAAAGACAGACCTTGGGAATGGAACTCGTTCTTAAACTGGGGACTACCTGTATTACAACAGCTCTCTGAGGCAGGTTAGATTGGGAGATAAATGGAAAATTATTTAGTATTATCTGTTTATAAGAACAGGTAAGTTAAACCCTATTCATTTTTGCCCTGGACCCATCCATTATTTTTGACATGCAACCATTTTCAGCCTAGAAATGTTTTATTGTGATAAACATTGGGAACTTATTAAATCTATATGAAACAATCAACTTAACTGTATTAAATTCATGCAATTTTTAATTAAAAGTAAATCAAATTTTGTTTAAAAACTATCTGCTTGTATACAGGCATAGCAGGGTCCTTCTCCCTCTCAAACACACATCCCTCCCCTTCCTGCCAATCTATTCTGGGCAGGACTATACAAAAGATCATTTCCAAAACCATCATAGAGACACTGTGGTCAACTATCACTTGGTGATTAGTGTTCCCTATTTCATACATACTATTCTCCCTTCATCATACCCCAAAAAGGGACTGCTACTGAACATTTTCAAGGCGCTTTCAAAAAGTGGCAAAGAACATTGAAATGCGTACATTCAAAGCAAGGATATATAAAACTCCACCAGTTCCAAAGAAGACATTTAACTAACAAGAGCCATTTACAATTTATTGTGCACCCAAGAAAGCTTTAAGAACTCTGAAAATGGTTTCATGATTGCTCGTAACAGACAGAAGTTTTGCAAAAGAAAATGCAAAACACTTCAGTTCAGGTGAAGCTCAGAAGAGAAATAGGCTGTATGTTTATAACATCATGATTATAAGACAAACAGTGCAGGTTTTAAAACATCCTGCATTCCTTCCACCTGTCTTTACTTTGAGGGGCAAGAATAGGGCTATTCAGTTGTCATTTGAATTTCTCTTTTTCTGTGTTACAAGCTGGGATCTGCCCAACCAGCACAGGGTAAAGCACAGAAGATTTCTTCCAAGATTCCTGGCATACCTTTTTTCATGCCAGATATGTTCAAAAGTGAATAGAAAGTATGTTGGTGGTTTCCTTTGTATTGGCCAGAACATTCTACCTTATGATCACACACCTTCAAAGTTCCAGTCTACTTCTCTTCAGTTCCAATCTGGCAACTTTTTTATTACTTTCAAACAAAGGCTGGTTTTGTAAAAACAAAAACTGTCTACAGAAAGTTTGCTTCATAAAATTTATCTACAAAGAGATTATCATTCCTTAACTGGTTCAAGATCAAAGAAACTTATAAGGCAATTCCTTTATTCAACAGTAAAGCCTTCTTCAAATCAAGCTCAACACCAGGTGACTTCATGGACACATCTAAGCAATTTTCAGATGTCTCCTCTACTTCCAGGTTACTGTTTCCATCTAGCCAATCTAGCCAACATCCTTGGCATTTCCTTGCTAAGCTGTTGAGATCAGCCAAGGTCAACTTGATGTGAAAGACTACAGAAATTAGGGGGTTTGACCTTGGAATAAGAGTGGGTAAGGGGATATATTAGAATTATATAAGATTGCGAATGGTGCGGAAAGTTTAGATAGCGGAAAGGTTTTTGTAGAATTCGTGTTCATTCAGTGCAACTAAACCTGGGGTAATTCAGGACTCATAAGACAATGTCCTTGGTTACAGAATGCAGACCCCATTGTTCTGGACAATTTCTGTCAAGTTTCTCACCTCCCCTTTTTGGGGAAGGAGCTAGAGAAGGTGGTGGGACTGCAGCTCCAGAGGATCCTGGATGAAACAGATTATCTGGACCCCTTCCAATCAGATTTTAGGCCCAGATATGGGATGGAAATGGCATTGGTCACACTTTTAGATGATCTCTGGTGAGACTGGGATGGGGGTAGTGCATCCATCCTGCCTCTTCTTGACCTCTCGGCGGCTTTCAATACCATCAACCATGTTATCCTTTTGGGTCAGCTACGGGAGTTGGGGGTGGGTGGCACAGTTTTATGCTGGTTCACCTCCTTCCTCCAAGGCCAGTCCCCATCGGTGTTGATAGTGAGCAAGAGGTCTAGCCTGCAGCCCCTGCTTTGTGGCATGCCGCAGGGCTTGGTGTTCTCTCCACTCCTTTTTAACATCTACATGAAGCTGCTGGCTTCATCCATCACCATAGGATGAGGTATCATCAGTATGCTGATGATACTCAATTATACATCTCTGCCCCAGGTGAATTAAGTGATGCTACGGATGTTCTTTCATGGTGTCTGGAGGCTGTGGGCGTCTGGATGGGGAAAAACAGGCTTCAACTGAACTGTGGTAAGACAGGGTGGTTGTGGGTTTGGGGCTTTTCCATATCTGGGGTTTTACCATCTCTGGTTCTGGATGGGGTTGCACTGCCCCAGACAGAGCTGGTATATAATCTGAGGGTCCTCCTGGACTCACAACTCCTGCTCAAGAAGCAGGTGGCAGTCGTGGCTAGGAGGGCCTTTGTTCAACTTTGTGTTGTGTGCCAGTTGCACCCTCTCCTGGATCAGGAAGCCCTTCTCTTGGTCACTCATGCCCTGGCCATCTCCCATATGGGCTATTGCAACACACTCTTACATGAAGCTACCAGTCTGGCAGGAAGAGCATGTTATGGACCCCATTGGCTAAAGAATTTCGACTGGCGGGGCCTAGAAGGAGAGCCTTTTCTGCCATCATCTCTGCCCTGTGGAATATTCTCCCCCCCCCCCCACAAGATGAGATTGCCCCCATTCCTTTTGCCTCTTGGGAGAACAAAAAGACTTGCCCCTCCGGCTTGCTTTGGGGTGCCAATGGGGGGC